CAAAAGTATAAAGAAATCAAATCAATACAACTCCAAATGTCAGAGGCATAGGCTTAATTGTGAGTATGTTCAAAGACATACTAAAAAGTAATCCAAAGAATGTTTATAACAGTATTCCAGAATATCAAACAGGACAAAATTCACCTCCAGGAAAATACAATGAGATCACAAAAACTAGCATACCATAAGGAACTGAGTGAACATGTGACTAACATGTTTGAAAGGGTATAAAATGATGAAAATTTTAAACTAAAATATGTAAAGGAAAGAAAATAAATAAAAAAATTCTAGTAAAAATTCTCACTAACAAAATATTTCAAGTTGAAGATAATATGGCATACTTGAAGACAAGGTAAAAGAATTAGAAAACTGAAACTGTGACAAAGGTAAAAATAAGGACAAGTGAAAGATATATGGGACCAGGGGGATAGGATTAAAAATTTACAATGAGCAGAAGAGAAGAAGAAGGACTTACCAAGACATCAACAGTATATCCAGTAAAATACAATGGGAATTTCCCAAAATATAGGGAGACATGTGGACATCTAGAGACAGGAGGCATTTAAATTCTAAACATGTATCAGATAGATACCTCCCCATATCATATTTTACTTAAAATTTGAATTATAAAAATAAAGAAAGGAAACTGAAGGCTGCAGACAAAGAAACCCATTTCTTAGAAAGGTCCCTTCCAGATAACAGCAGATTCCTTCATGAACTATTTTAAAAGGGGAGAGTATCAGTGATGAAATTCAAGTAGGTAGAGATATAACTGCCAAACCCTCTTACTATACTCAACAAAGTTATCCTTTATAGTGAAAGGAGGCTCTTCACGGGTATAAACTTGACTACATCTGGAATTTATTATTATTATTATTATTTGAGACAGGGTTTCTCTGTGTAGCTTTTTTTGACAGTTTATAAAAATGGCACATTTGTTGCTACAGAATGGTCATGTATATGACTTCATCGAATAACTACAGATGGGAACAGGTAATGGTCTAGACCAAGCTGGGTGGTTTGCCTCTTCAGGAAGTCCAGCACACAACCTGTTTGGACACTTCTACAAATCAGAAATACACAAAAAACATGAAAAATCGAGGCACTCAGCCACACATTGAAAACAAGATGTAACTGTTTATCATTTTTTGAAATGTTTTCCCTTTTTTCTTTTTTTAACACTTTTTAAAGTTTTTAATGCTGCAGCTATGTATACAATTGCAAAAAAAGAAAAGAAAGAAAAAGTCTGAACTGCAACGCTACAACTAAAAACAAAAACAAAAACAAACAAAAGAAGCTACCATACAGTTTCATCTCGGTAACACATGGTAAAATAACATCTTTTAAATAGTAAAATATCTCTGTGTAGCTTTGGTGCCTGTCATGGATCTTGCTCTGTAGTCGAGGCGAGCCTCAAACCAACAGATTTCTGCCTGGCTCTGCCTCCCTAGTGCTGGAATTAAAGGCGTGCACCACTGCCAACCAGC